AAGTTTAAAAAGTGTTTAGGGCCATTATGAAGATCTAGTTTGCTAGAAAATTTGTCAAAGAAAAAGAGTGTGCATGATCTTCCTATAAAGAGAAATTATTGTTGTAGATAATGAGGTCTATAAAAAGCTGTCTCCATGCAAAATTCTAGTATTTTACCTCTATATTTCTGTTTTTCTTGGGTCATAAAAAGTTAAGAACAAGAAAGAACTACCACTAAATTTTAACAGGTGCTATAAAAATACATTTTAAAATTCTAGATTTCAGATGGTAACACTGTATGCTGCTGTGTATCCTAATTCAATCTTTTTGTAATTCAAGATTTTTTTCTGAAATCATCTTTTTTAAAGTAAGGATTTATCTGTTTGGTTTCTGGACAAGTCATCCTTTATCTTCTTTAAGTTATAATAATTTATCTTTGCTTGGCTTAATGATAATCTTTTCAAATCTTTCCTAAGAACTGTCTACTCACTCTTCTCATAAATATGGCAAATCAGTAAATTACACAGTAGATGATGATAATGTCACTGATCCCTAAACATGTATTTGTAGTTTGATAAGAAATTTCTTATGTATGTATGAATATGTTTATAACTACTCCCAAATATTCCTTAGCAACCCCTTGTCATACCTGAGAACTATCCCATTATCCAGAATTATTAGAGAAGTAGTACTTCTGATAACCAAGACTGACATCCTAAGAGTCAAAATTCTACTTTAACCATTGGGATGGAAATCTTTCTCAAATGCTTTCTGTCTTCTAAAATTACTAGTAATAACATTTTTTTGATGACAGAAGGTCAATCATGACTCTCAGAATAGATGGAACAGCCATGACATTGAATGGTCTCTGACAGTTTTTCTTTCTTGCTTTTTTTCTTTTCTTTTCTTTTTTTTTTTTTTGAGATAGACTCTTGCTCAGTCACCCAGGCTGCAGTGCAGTGGCATGATCTCGGCTCAATGCAAACTCCGCCTCCTGGGTTCAAGCGATTCTCCTGCCTCAGCCTCCCAGTAGCTGGCATTACAGGTGCACGCCACTACAACCAGCTAGTTTTTTTGAATTTTTAGTAGAGATGGGGTTTCACCATGTTGGCCAGGCTGGTCTTTAAACCCCAGACCTCAAATGATTCGCCTGCCTCAGCCTCCCAACGTGCTGGGATTATACGCATGTGCCACTGTGCACGGACCTTTCTCGGATTTTTATATTCCATTTTCCTAACTCTTCTGTCTTTTCTGTTTGCCAGCACGGTATCTACTCTCCCTTCTTAAGATGGTCTATGTGTCTGCTCACAAGAGTTCTTGCATTTTTAAACTTGTTGATTGAAGTCCAATACGGACTGGGAAATTGAAGGTTGTTGTTAAGCTTTGTCTAAAGCAGAACAGCTTTTGTGATGGTGACTTTGGCTATTCTATACCCTTCTGTCTTTCTCTTAGTAGTCTTGACTCTCTGCAGTGGAGACATTTACTAAAGAAATGCCTTCTGGATATGTGGGATAACTGTGCTGAACTAATGCACAGATTTGTTGTGGTAGAAACAGTCAGTAACATGCTATCGCCAGAAAATATTAAGAGCGATGATCATACTTCTTCCATAATTCCCATTATGTGAAGTAGATGAGACCTTAAAATATAAAGATAGTAGGCTGGGTGCGGGGGCTCAAGCCTGTAATCCCAGCACTTTGGGAGGCCGAGGTGGGTGGATCACGAGGTCAAGAGATCGAGACCATCCTGGTCAACATGGTGAAACCCCATCTCTACTAAAAACACAAAAAATTAGCTGGGCATGGTGGCACGTTCCTGTAATCCTAGCTACTCAGGAGGCAGAATAATTGTCTGAACCCAGGAGGCAGAGGTTGCAGTGAGCCAAGATTGTGCCAGCCTGGGTAACAAGAGTGAAACTCCGTCTCAAAAAAAAAAAAAAAAAAGCATATATATATATATATATATGGAGAGAGAGAGAGAGAGAGAGAGAGAGAGAGAGAGAGAGAGATAGTATAACTCTTTTTAAACTTATCAATTTCTTACTCTACACACCTAAAGACCCACACATATCTAAAAAGTTCTTGCAACTGATCTGTGTAAGATCTGGAAACTTACACAGAAAACTCAGCACGGTAGAAACTGCAGAACTGAGCCTTCGCTGCTGAACTCTGCAGCCTGCAATACATTGTTCAGTCTGGACACTGAAAAGAAAATTGTTCTCTTCTAACTTCTTTCGATCTGTTTTACATTGTATTGACAGTATAGTGCCATCTGAACCAAAGAACCAAATAAAAAATCATAAAATGTGACCATCTGAAGATGGCCTGGTAACTAATATGTGCTACTAAATTCTTATTGACCAGTAGACATTAATAAATAGAAAACACTACGCTGCTCAAGGAAGACATGTGGACATAGATAGTAGTCGAGATAAATGCTCACGTTTGATTTTTTTCACGCAGCCAAGCACAGGGGTGGGCAGTGAGGTACAAGAAGATAAATGGGGCTTGGTTTCTGCCCATAGCAGGCAACAGATCAAATTCTCTTCCAGAGGACAGTCTTAGCAGCTCAGAAGGACTCGTCGTATGAATGAATGACTAGTGTCACTGATTCTTAAATTGGATGTTTAGATGTGGTGCAGTTCTTTGTACTTTAACATGTCTTTTTTATCTGTCTGCTTTTAGGATTTTTTTCTTTGTTACTAATTTTGAGCAATTTGATGAAAATATACCTTGGTATCGTTTCTTCATGTTTTCCGTGCTTGGGGTTCCTTGAGCTGCTTAGATCTGTAAGTTTATGGTTTTCATTAAATTTAGAAAATTTTCAACCATTATTTCTTTAAATTTTTTTCTGTCCTTTCTCCTCTCATCTGGGGACTCCATTTACACATATATGAGGCTACTTGAAGCTCACTGATGCACTGCATATTTTTTCTTCTTTTTTTCTTTGTGTTTCATTTTGGATCACTCCTATCGCTGTCTTGAAGTTCACGAATCTTTTATTCTGTAATCTTTAATATTTTAATTCTAGAAGCTTGAGTTTGTTCTTTTATATGTTTTCCCCATTTCTACTTTGTGAACATATAGAATATAGAGTTTAAAGGTTGAAGTCTCACATTCAAAATCTTCTAGAGCCCAAAGACATTTCTCCACTTTTAAGTTGTTATGATTACATGATAATGACATAAGTACTTCTCAAGGAAAATGATAATTGATAATAAATTAAAAAATAAATAAAGGAAGAAAGAAGAGAGAGAGACAGAGAAAATCAACATCTTAAGATGGCACACCTGATTTGCCACCATCTAGATGTTTGTGTCTTAGTCAGGCTGATGCCTGAAGCCCAGAGCCTATTTCCGTGCACCTGTCTAGTTAATGATGCAAGGCTGGGGAACCGGGTAGGGTCACGTAGCTCTTGAGCACATGAGTGCTCATGGGCACATACAGTGTCTTGGCCTATGACATCTTGCTCTCATCCTTGCATCCAGTGTTGTGATTGACGTGCGTGATATAGAGTGAAGCAGCCCTGATTTTCTCTGTTTGCAGATGACACATCTGAGACACAGTGATGTGCTGTAATTTGCCCAGGCTCACCGTGCTCAGAAAAGGTAGAGCCTTAGTTTGAACTGTGATTTGAGTCAAAGCTTCCTGGATCATGCTAAACTTAGAGAGACATAAGACCTAAGGCCTCGTTCCAGGAAGTGATTTCCATCCATATTTCTTTCCTGCTCCCGTAAGACTATGCTCTGAATGTCTACCTGGTGCAACTCTGCTTTTGAAGCTTTTCTTCACCAATCTCTGGTTGCAAGCAAGAAACGGGTATAGCTTTAGGGCAGTCTATGGGCAACGTATAGAAAAGGGCTAATTATGTCCATCCCTAAGACTCTTAGGAGAAGAAGTGAGTCCAGCCATGAGGCAGCGGCCAGCTCTGTGGGAGGAATTGTCAGGGGCTGGGGCCCATGAGCTGGGATGGCACACCCAAGAAAGAAGGAAGTTCTGTAGCTTGGACCGTAGCAATGGAAACAAAGGATGACACAGAGAGAATGACAAGAAGGCAGACATCCAAAGGAATAAGCAAAGGGGAGGGTGCAGTTACATCATGCTGAGGCTAGGGTGTGTGCTGTGTGTGACACCTGTGGCCTTGAGCTTCTGAACATTATCTGTAGTTATATGTATATGTTAACATGGTTTAGAAGAAAATAAATGTCAAGGAAAGGAGTGATTGATGATTCTCCCGCATCCCAGGATTTGATGTGAAATGAATGGAACGTGGATGGCAGAAGTGTAAACTTGCTCTCTCGGTATTCTCCCCACCTGCCTCATTCTTCTAAGAGGCCCCACTTTTTTAGCAACAAAGCAAGTTAACACACTGGTAACTAGACTCAGGAATTGCTTCCTAGGGTGAGTCTCTTTCTGCCCAAAATGAGTGTCACGAAAATCAATCAGGAACAGTGTCAGTTGATAAGTACTCAGAAAAAGGCTGTTCTAATTTCCTCTCCAATCATACATTTGCTTTAACACTTTTGCCAAAGTCAACTAACAACACTATTCTTCTCTGTAAGCCCATGCTTTAAAAACACAAGGGGTTCTTTTCTTTCCTTTTGGGACTGGGACCCGGCACATTTTAAGTGTTCACATGGGGTTTACACAGGTGTTTGGGCATTAACTCTCTTACCAGTTAATGATAGCGCTTTGAAAAAATGTCAACCTGTCACAATCTCCACTGAAAACAAAGTAGCTCAGCTACATGAATAGAATGAAAAACATTTCACAGCATTTTCAGTGACTATAATCACATCTATTCCTCTCTGTCTGTAGTGATCTTCAAGGACCCCTGAGCCTTTAAGACAAATTTTTAAAAGGAATACATTTCCAAGTAAAACAGTTCAATATAAATGGTTTTTCTCTAATGTCCTAAGAATCTTTATTAGAATTGCATTTCTCAAAACTGGACTTGTATTGTTTTCTGAGGAGTTGCTCATAATTCCAGATTTCTTTTTATTGTAATGAACTGGCCATACCTTCCAGCTCCCTGCAGCCAAGTTCTGCAGGGCGCCTGCCGCCCCTTCCAGCGTGTCTGGATTTGAGCACTCAGAGAGCAGTGTGAGGTAGGGTTTGACTATTGATGGGTGCCACAGCATCTGGATCCCTTTTGGTGGTTCGGCACAGTCTGGAAGAGGTCCTACTCCATCCCACTGGTGGAACAAAAACAAGAGAGCAAACATCTTTAACAACTTTATGCTTCCCAACATTGCCTTCCTCAAACATTACAGGCAAAAACAAAAGCAGAGCATTATCACAGTTGGCGAACACAGACTGCAGGGAGGCTACTGCATCAGCAGTCCAGGGATCACTAAAAGTAAGCAGCTATTCCTGCCCACCGAGAGCTTGGGATCGAGGGTGAAGGGTGGTTTGGAGGATGCACACAAGAGAATGTAACTGCAGAAGTGGATAAGCTCTCCAAGAATGATTCTAACATGTTGCTGTAGGAAGGAAGGGGAAGAGAATTAATTTTGATTGAGCAGGTTGGAAGAAGGATAAAGATCAAGGTAGCATATTTTATAGTTAGCATACTACAGGTGCTGCTTAATAATTATAAGCAATCAAATGCCCTCACTTTTTATGCATAATTATTAATGCGATAAACACCTATATAATTTGCTACATACATACAAATTGGGTACTATTGTTGCATTTAACAAATGAGAGAATCGATAAAAGAGAGAAACTGCTATGGTTTATTAGACACATTAACATGAGCTATAGGCAAATCTAGGTCTTAGAGCAATCATGATAGTTAAATTTGCCTTGAATTGAATCTAATGAATAACAGGATAATGTGTAATTCAAAATTAATTACACATGATTTAGAAATTATGGCTTGCATGCTCAAAGGAATACCAGTCAACCATTAAGAATGATCCTTATGAAGACTATGTAGCAACTTGGACAAATTACAACAGTGAAAGTTAAATGATCAAAGCAGGATGCAAAGTAGTATGGGATTTGTATTTTATTCCAAGTAAAATGAATCATAAAACACCTGTAATTATCATAAAAATTTATTAATAAAATGTCTTTTTTTCTACATGTCAAACTTCCTGTTCTATTACTCTTACCATTTTAAAACTATTAAAAATTAAAATAATGATTCTGATCTTTGATTACACAAAGGCTTTGTCTTTTGTGAAAACAATGAGTATAATTAAAATGCTATGCTTTTAGAAAAAATATACACATATTCAGTTCTGGGAAAAATCACTGTAAAATAAAACAATTTCTTTATAATTTAGTGTGAGAACATGAAGGTGTTTAGCTTATTAGTGTATTTATTGATGATTACTTAAAATACAGTATAAATGACACACACTAAACATACTTGCAGATATTTTATGCATATACATATATGTGCATGTATAGATAAGTGTGTGTATAAATATAAAAAATAAAACCATATTTCTGAACATAAGTCCTTAGTTCTGAATATTTTACTCCAAGAAAATACATGCTTATTTTGTATCCTTGCGACATAAAAATAGAAAAGTGAGTAGAGATGCTGTTGTCACAAATAATTTCAAAAATTTCATTATTTCCCAAAAGAAGCTAAAATGCTTGTCTTCTTTTCCTCAGTGATGATACAGCTTAGTTTAAGTCAAGGCTAAAGCTCAGAGACAAATGACATCCTATTAAAGTTCATTTTCAATGAACATGTCATTCAATTTTAACTTTATAACAAGGACACTCAGTGTGGAACGCTTCCTGTCCTTTTAACCAAAGCCACTTCTTAGCTATTCTAAGATGACTTGGCACCTATGCACAGCCTATCAATAAACCCAATACATCTCCTTTAAATAAAAAAAAAGAAGGAAGTGAACTAGCCCTGTCACATTGCTCCTAGTTCATTATTTGAGCCTGGCTTGCTGCACTGAATAGAAAGTGGGCTCTAGAAGAAGACAGCAGTCATTCTGTACGTTTGTCAATTTCAACGACAAAGCAGTGGGCTCTCAAAGGAGACCAGCCTGGGGTAGTGAATCTATCTGCTATAGTAACAAGAAATGGCAAATCATTTCTTTTATTTCATATTATATCTTGTTATCGCCTTAAACATTTAAAGCAATTATTTTTATATAAGAATTTGATACAATTCAGAAAAATCAAAGTGTGAAACTTCCAACTCAACATGGATGAGATTTTCCTCTGATGTAAGAGCTAACCTAACGGCGAGAGGTATGGCGAACTGGTATCTGCATGCTCATTACTTGAAGAGGGAGAAGTAGCCGTGTTATCTTTTGCTGGGTTTCAGCTTTCTCTCCTTTTCTAGCTTCTGTGCAATAAAGCAGGATGAATGGTTAAGTCAGTAGATAACTTTCTTCAGGCTCTGACATGTCATCTATGTAGCTCTTAAATACCTTTTATTACAATCCTTTCTTAATGGCGACAGAGAGAATCTGAAGGAAATAAGAAGACAACTGATGTGAACACAGATAATCTTTGAAGGCAACTGGAGATGGAGTTCAAAGGAGATTCTTGGCTATTTTAGCACGTTGATGGTGCCCTGGTATGTTAATATTGAAACAAAAAGGACTATTTCAAAGCCAGTCAATGTATCTGCCAGACCTTTATCTGGGTACTTTATTCAAACTTTTATTAAGTTAATGGGGGAAAAGTATCGTAAGTTAATAGGGAAAAAAGCCTATTAAGAATACATTTCCATAAGCTGTAAAATGAATGGAAGTATTCTTTAAGACTTGGGTTAACATACCTGAAATTATTTTGTCCAGCTCATCAACATCAACAAGTCAATATGGCAGTGGTGAGGTTAGGATCAGACTGATGTAAGTAAGACAATTCTGCACATGACAACTTTTGATGCTCGAAGGTGAGCATTCATGAAAGAATCATGGGATATACACTCTTTTACCCAAGTAGAAATACTGTATTTATGAATTTAAATATAAGGTGTTTCTATTCTAAAATATCTACAAAAATGTGACATTATCTGAAGCCATGCAGTGGCTTAATCTTTAACATAATTGAAGCCATGATCGCAGTTATTTAGTCCCGAAGAACACGAGACGGAACTTAGAAATCTTATGCAAACTGTGCTCATTTTGGAGGACTGTATCTTGAGGACCTGCTCCCAAAAACCGTTTAAGAGCTTGAAATATGCAAAGAAAACATAGAGAAGTAAAATGTCATCAAGTTGGGAGAGAGAACTTTCTATATAATAAAGAAAGAACACATGAAGACAAAGTATTTCCACAACAGCAGGGGTGGCAATGCCAGGAGAGAGTTTTGGTTTTTGATTATGTTATCTGCATGAGAACTACACATGAGGTGGTGGGGGGGGGAAGAAAGAAAGAGAGAGAGAGAGAGAGAGAGAGAGAGAGAGAGAGAGAGAGAGAGTGTGTGTGTGTGTGTGTGTGTGTGTGTATGTTTATGTATCTTCATTCCTCAGGTTGCAGTTTAAAACTAAAGCAGAATAGAGAAAGAAAAAAGAAATAGCATTAGGAGAATGGCATTTGTGGTTTTAAAAAAGGTTTTTTTGGCTGGGGTGGTGGTTCATGCCTGCAATCTCAGCACTTTGAGAGGCTGAAGTGGGCGGATCACGATGTCAGGAGATGGAGACCATCCTGGCCAACATGGTGAAACCCCTCCTCTACTAAAAATACAAATGGCGCACACCTGTAGTCCCAGCTACTCAGGAGGCTGAGGCAGGAGAATCACTTGAACTGGGGAGACAGAGGTTGCAGTGAGCCAAGATTGCACCACTGTACTCCAGCCTGGTGACAGAGTGAGACTCCATCTCAAAAAAAAAAAAAAGGTTTTGTTGGGTTTCATCTTGTTCCAGCTTGGGGGAAATTTTCAATGAAAATATCCATTCCTCCTCAGAATTTTACTCCTTATGTTTGAGAGTTACATAAATGTTCCACAATTCTGCACAACATGCTAATTTTCATCTGTTATATTTTAGCAAATAAAATTTACAAAAGTTGTAACAGTCCTAAAGTCTTATAGATACTACTTAAATGTTCAAATTACACTTTGTGCAAGTCATTTACATGTTGTTGAACAGGACGATATACCAAATAATATATTACTGGCATAATAATAAGCCTCCACTTATGAATTATCTTGATGAGGGAAATTTATAATTTGACACACATACTTAGAGTTCATAAAGCTAAGGAATAAGGTGGTTATAACCAGAGTATTTGAAAACTGAGTAATTGAGAATTAAAGCTCCATTGGTGACAGACTGGCAGCAAAGCAGTGAGTGGATATAGATCACAGAACAAAGCAATAGACTGATTTTTTGCCACCCAAATAGTGCCTCACTCAATAATGTATCAGCATTTTTTTTTTACTGGCTTCAAATATATGATTGCATGACTAATATCCATAAAAACTTGTCTAACAGTTTCTGTCATTCAATTTTCTAAAATTGTAGAGAATTGAAAATATGTATTCTCTCATTAAGAAGGTAATGCTCAAAATCTTTTCAGAAAAAAAGAGAATATCAAGCTTCCCAAGATGGGAGGTAAGGGACTGCTAACATTCAGACATGATGCTTTTTGATATGATCACCATAAGCACAGAGGATACGTAGTAGCCACTGTAAAAAAGGTCTGCTTAGGAAGAAAATAACTTATGTGTGGGGATCTGCTCAACGTGTATGTTAAAAAGAAAGAAACCTTTCTTTGGATTTTCTTATATTTCGAAGATTTCTATCTCAGTTGGGTTTGAGAATGAAAGAGTGGAAGCCATTTGCTCCTTATATGAAGAGAAAGACGTAAGTTAGGGACAAAAACCTGAAAATAGGCTGGGCACGGTTGTTCATGCTCTTAATCCCAGCACTTTGGGAGGCTGAGGCAGGTGGATCACTTGAGGTCAGAAATTTGAGACCAGCCTGGTCAATACAGTGAAACCTCACCCCTACAAAAACAGAAAAATTAGCTAGGTGAGGTCAGGAGTTTGAGATCAGCCTGGCCAACATGGTGAAATGCTGTCGCTACAAAAATACAAAAATTATTCAGGTGTGGTGGTGCACACCTGCAATTCCAGCTACTTAGGAGGTTGAGGCAGGAGAATCACTTGAAACCGGGAGGCAGAGTCTGCAGTGAGCTGAGATGGCGCCACTGCACTCCAGCCTGGACGACACAGCGAGACTCTGTCTTAAAAACAAAAAAACCCT